ACCCGAAGGCTTCAATTTGCCCTTCATTTCCAGTGGGGGGGGGTCGTGGAACATTGAAAAACACATGGAACCCCTACCCCCCCCAACCCGTATTTCGGGTCAAGTTCGGGTCTTCGGGTTGGGTTGGGGTGGTCCTGTAGGTAGTCAGAGAGAGAGAGAGAGAGAGATCAACGGTACAATGAATCTTCCCAGTGGGGTCATGAGCACCGAGCGCGTTTCGCTACTCGCAGAGTGCCTACTCGCAAACGTCCGAGAAGAGTTTGTCTTCCTAGATGCGGTGGGTCGAAAACCTCCTCGGCGCATCCATGCCATTTTCGAGTAGTCACTTTGCTAGTAGTGTTAAGTCGGGCTTGTCGCTCTACAGGGGGAATATCCAAAAATGGCTACAAACAAATAGTCTGGTGACTATGTTGTTAGTATTGTTGAATGTGTTTTTAGCATTTTCTGTCTTTTTAATGTTTCACGCAAAATCCGCCTGCCGGGGGGCATGCCCGACCTTCACGTCGCCAAATTTAAGGCCCCGGAAACGTCCGGTTCGGTGCGGTTCCGTCAGGTTCAGCCCGGTTCGGTTCGAAATCGAATCCTGTTCGGTTCGGTTCAGTTCGAAATTGGGTCTCATTCGGTTCCGGTTCGGTTCGGTTCTTGTTGGCAAAACGTGCGGTTCGTACCGGTTCTGTTAGGCCCGGTTCGGTTCGGCCGGTTCGGTTCGGTTTTTGAGCCTTCCTGTATAACGAAGCCAGATATTACGAATCAGAAGAAGAAGACCACTCACACCAACACTCCCAATACTACGAATAACCATATAAACAACAAGACGAATGCCACCACGTGGCTGGTCGGGGGGAGCGACACCTGCATGATCGTGTTGCCCAGCAGCTCGAGGGTCAGGGTTCGAGGATCACGGCTGCCTTCCGCGTTCTCGTCCTTTGTGGCCTCCTGGGCGACCTCGCCGCCACGGCTGGATTTTGCATCGATGTTTTGGCTTAGCGTGCACGCCAAGATGACCAACCAGGTCCAGGGTCGCACTGGGATGGGGAGGCCCGGACCTCCGGCGTGGCGAGAAATCGTGACGGCTCGTGCTTCCAGAGCTTGGGGCGTATGGGCACAGGCAACCCGCACAGTGAGGATGGGCAACCTTCCCAAGGGTAGCATTGCATCCTTGCCCCTTCGGCCAATCCTTAGCGACTTTCACTGGCCAGCCTCGTTCGAAAAACGTCAACTTGGCCCTCCAAGGCCCTTGCATCATTACCGCACACCCTTACAGTACGGGTTGACTAATTACAGTAGGACCGAGGTATAAGATCGAGGTCGGTTCGGAGAGGGGACCTTATTGTTCTGCGTGTTTGCTGGATGTTCTTGTGCGCATCCTGGGGGAGGGTACTAACGAATGCTCTTCATTCTGGCCAGCGGAGGGTCTCGTGTGTTTGAAGGGTGTTTTTCTCTCCTAGGTCCGACTGGACTGTTTGTGCTCGGCCCCGCTGACAGTCAACAAAAACGGCCTTGCGCTGAAAATCCTGTGCCGTGGATGCTGTCCAGAGATTTAGGGGCCCACGAAACGAAGAAGCATGACGTGGCTTGTCTGGGCGCTCACCTGCATCTGTGGTCGCCGACCTGCGGGAGCGGCTCGACACGGTCGACGTGAAAAGTCTGAAGCTTTATTTATCTTGGGCAGTTCAGCCGTTTGTTTGTACCGCTCCTGCCATGGTGACCGTGGCCGAGGCTACGCCCACACGGCCCCGGCGAGGAAGCGGGTCTCGACCTGTGTGTTCGTCCGTGGCAGGAGCGCTCCTCCGCAGATTTGGGCATGCCGCTGTCGTGCTGGGCAGCGGTGTGCGGGATCCCTTTCGCTACCCGGCGGCGTTCGGATTGCACGCTCGTTGCTGGAGGAGGTCATGGCGAGGGGCGTGGGTGCAGGCAATTGGTGCCTTCCTTGCTCTGCACCGCAGTTGTGCGAGGCAAGCGCAGCGGTGCCAGGTGGGCGGTGGGTCGGACGCCCGAACAAAAAACTGTAACAACTGCGGTCCGGGGTAATTCCGATTTGGCCCCCGTAAACGCGAATCTGCAGCTACTCCTGACCGCCCCCAGCCCTGATGATTCGGGAGGCTTAGGCGCCCGAGTCAACTATCCGGGATGTTGCGGTCCTTGGTAGCTCTGGATTGGGCCCTCGAGGCGCGAATCTGCAGTTAACCCTGACCGCCCTTAGCCCTGACGATTCGGGGCTCCGAGTGGACGGGCGCTTGCAAGTCCTCCTAGGCGTTGGTTTGGGCCCCCCGTCGGGGCATCATCGCTGCCCCGTGCACGCGTCGTGTCTGCGGGCGCAGCGTGGCGCGCAGCCCCCGACGTGCAGGGAAAAAGGAATACCCCAACAAAGCACCCCGAATCGAGTAGGGAATCGATTGCAGAGTTGATATACCCCAGACTTGGTTTTCTCGTCGAGTCTACTCGGAGAAATTAGTAGAAAGTTTGTGATGCTGCGCTCTATGAAGTTTTGTTTTCTCCTGCGGGGTATTAGTTTTTTTTTTTATGTAGTCGAAAGCACGATCAGCTGCATCTCGGTGGATTTTTGGGCAAGGGATGGTGGCCGTCTGGACCAAACAGGTAGCGGGCATTCCGGCGAGAGCAGATTCCCGAACACATTGTGTGGAAGCCTCAGGCGAAACGGCTGCCGGACCAAAGTGCCCAGGGCTCCCCGTCCCCCCTTGCTTGGACGCGTCTGCGTGTGTATGTGTTTGTGTGTGTTTGTTTTGTGTGTATGTGTTTGTGCATGTGTGTTTTTTGTGTGTATGTGCGTTTGTGTGTGTTTTTTGTTTTTTTGTTTTTTTTTTTGTGTGTGTGTGTGTGTGTCTGTGCCTGTGCCGATGCCCGTGCCCTTGCCCGTGCCTGCGCCTGCGCCTGCACCTTTGCGTCTCTACGTCGCTGCGTTTCTGCTGCGTCTCTGCTGCGTCTCTGCTGCGTCTCTGCTGCGTCTCTGCGTCTCTTGTCTCTGCGTCGTCTCTGTGTCGTGTCTGTGTCGTCGTGTGTGTCGTCTCTGTGTCGTCTTCTGTGTCGTCTCTGTGTCGTCGTCGTCTCTCTGTCGTCGTCTCTGTGGCGTCGTCTCTGTGTCGTCGTCGTCTCTGTGTCGTCGTCTCTGTGGCGTCATCTCTGTGTCGTCGTCTCTGAGTCCGTGTGTCCGTGTGCCTGTGTGTCTGTACGTCTGTGTGTCTCTTCTTCGCCAGCGCAGTGACTCTGCCTAGCCGTCGACGGAAAAGGTGTCTGTGTCTGTGCGTCTGTGTGTTAACCATTGTGAGATCACTGGAGCGAAACGCTGTTAGGGAAATGGGTGCACTCTGGGTTGCGGGGGGGGGTCCTGCGCGTGCGCTGCGTCCGCGCGTGATTCCAGGCTAGTTCGACCTCCTCCCTCCCTGCTCTCCGGTAGATGGACAATAAGGTCGGCGTTGGGACAACAGCTTGCAATGTGGCGCCGCCAGCCCGCTCCTAATACGCCATCCACCACCTCGAGGCGAAGCAGCCTTGGCAGGGGGATGGCGTGCACAGGAGGGGCCCTCGCGGGGGGGATCGCGTCACAGCGACAGCGTTGTTTTTTCGGAGATCGATGCTGCGCACTGTCTTTGCAAGCCCAACCGTATTTTCGAACCCGTGCACACTGACGGGATTATGAGCTCCCCGTTCCCGACAACAATGCTGATTTCAGTATGGGTGATGGTTCGGGGGTTCGAGTCTTGCGAAGGTCTTAGGGCTGCAGCCGCCGACCCTAAAGGCAGGACCTCCCCCAGGACCCCCGCTTGCGACCTTCCGCGGGACTCGCCAGGACCCCAAGGGGGGGGGGGGGCGGTATTCTGACCGATTCGGATCCTGGACCCCCACGACCACCTAACACCTTCCGACAGGGAAGGGATAGAGTGAAGTGACTCGACTTAGCCATGACGCTCCTTTTTCTTGTTCTTCAATGCCTTCGGACTGGCGACGACGACGATGACCACAACGACGGCGACGACGACGACTGAAACGGAAAAACGTCTCACACACGCCGAAGGGTCGGCGGATTTCTGTCCACCCTAGCAAGCACCCTACATTGCCGCAACGTCAATACCAATTTCGGTGTCCAGGGGGCATCTTGCTCTGTGGGGTTCGCATGGATTGTCCATGTACGGTCCCCCCCTGGGTTTCGGAAGCGCCGCGCTCTTGTCGGTGCCCTTTCTTGTGGCTCCAGGCCGTGCCCTGTCGCCTGGCTCTGTACAGGCTAGCGTGTGGCGCCGTTCTCTGTATTCTTGGGTTCCCATCCCCTGCGCCTGGGTCTCGCGCTGCCCAACTGGAGCGCGCAGTGGCCGATATTCCCGAGGCAGAACGCAAGCGCGGCGACGTCCCAGCGAGGGCTCTGGCGGGTTGGAGACAGTGCCCCGTCGCGCGCGCACGAGCCCCTGGGGGCTCGAGCCCCGTTCCTGCGAGAAAGATCTGGCACAGGGGCAGGTTCGGGTGTTGCCAGAAGCGGCCATGGAACAGGGTGACCCAAAGCTTCCCCGGGGAGGCGCAGTTGGCTCCAGGAGCAGCCTCCACGAGGCCCAGGGGGACCCAGAGGCCTCGAGGTGGCGCGAAAGCTGGGAGCACCTTGTGCCAGGACCACAAATGGCAACACCAGACAGATGTTCCTCCTCCTTCTCCTCCTCCTCCGCCTCCTGCTTCTCTGTCCTGTTTCCCCCTCATCCTCCTCGTCCTCCTCTTCCTCCTTCTTCTCCTCCTCCACCTCTGTCCTCTTCTCCCCCCCACCTCCTCGTTTTCCTCCTCCTCCTCCTCCTCCTCCTCCTCCTCCTCCTCCTCTTCGTCCTCCTCCTGTGCGTCTGCGGCCGTGCGCGTCTGCCCTCCTCGTCCTCATCCTCGTCCTCGTCCTCCTCGTCCTCCTCGTCCTCCTCATCGTCGTCGTCGCCGTCGTCGTCGTCGTCGTCGTTGTCGTCGTGGGGCCGGCCGCGCGCGTCTGCGGCCGCGCGCCCCGCAGCCCGCGAGAGGCAGCGGCCGACGCGCTTCGGCAGGCCCTGGGCGCGCGCGCCGAGGCGGGGTTTCTTGCCGCGTGCCCTGCTGGTTCCCTGCGCGTGCTTCCCTGGGCCCCTCCTCATCCTCCTCTTCCTCCTCAGTCCTCTCCCCCCCTCCTCTTCTGTCCTGTTCCTCTTCCTCCTCCTCCTCCTCCTCTGTCCTGGTCCCCCCTCCCCCCTTTCTCCTCCTCCTCTTCCTCCTCCTCGTCCTCCTCCTCTTCCTTCTCCTCCCCCGCCTCCTCCTACTCGAACGGTAGTTTTTTGTCCAGCGTTCTGTTTTCCACCTTTGTTGGCCGGGTGCACTCCTCCTCCTCCTCCTCCTCCTCCTCCTCCTCCGCCTCCTCCTCTTCTTCCTCCTCCTCCTAGACGTTGTGGCCCAGGTGTTTGCGAGTGTGTTGTCAGTGGTTCTTCAGAATGGCTTGGTGACAGCGGGACACGTTTGCTAATTATGTCGCCTAACTTCATCGCGGCACCGCGATGCCCTCCAATCCTACGAACTGGACGGACTCTTGGCAGAAGGTTGTTCGCTGCACTTCTTTTGCGGCTGCAAGTGCCACGATTATTCTTACAGCCGGTGCAAACATTGCAAGGGTTGGCGGAACGACCGCACCACGAGCACCTCCGACACCGCTGCGACGCCGCGCGGCGATGTTGCAGCCCCTTCGGCGCGAGGCCGCAGGAGTGGCAGCTGGCCAGCGTGCGTCCTCCGCGTCTACTGCAGCGCCTACTCCGGCCTCCACCGCCGAGCTGGAGCAGCTGCTGGCCTTGGCGGAGAAGGTGGGCAACGCAGCCTTGGTGGTTCAGGCCAAGCAGGAGCTGGCCCAGGCCCGTGAGGCAGCTGTCCCGCCCCACCAGAAAGCCGACGCCGCCCGCGAGGAGATCGATCGGTTGAAAGGCGAGCTGCGCCGCTTGCTGAAGGCTGTTCGAGGCTTGGAGCAGAAGCTCGCGACCAAGCGAAAGCAGCTGGAGACAACTCCCGGAGCTCGACCGCCACGACGACGCTGTGCGCAAGCAGGCGGTTGCCCAACTGCACGCCAACATGGCGCCCTGCCCGAAGGCGCCAAGGTCTCGATCGCGGACATCCTTGAGGGCCCACTCACGGGCGTGGACGTTGACGACGGCGATCTCTTCGGGCTCGCCGAGCACGTCGATGCGGGGGGGCGCGACCTCCAGGAGGCTGCTGCCCGCGAGGCGCCCCTGGCCACCGCCATCCAGGATGCCTGCTCCTGGCTGTTCGGTGAGCTCAGAGACAAGGCCGCCAAGCTCAAGGCGGAGCAGGCAGAAAAGCAGACGCGCCTCTTCAGCAAGAAACGCAGAGGCGACGCCGCCTCATCGGTCCATGCGGCTGCTCCTGAATCAGCGCAGCCTCGCGAACCTGCACCTCCCGCCGCTGCAGATGCCGCGGGGGCCCGCGCTGCACCTGGCGCCCCAGGCCCCGTCCGTGATTCTCGCGGGGGCGTTTGCCACGCCTGTGCTTAGTTCGCCCCGTGCCCCAGCGCCTGCCGGCCCTCAGGACACGGCCGCTGCCGCGTCCAAAGCTGCACCAGAGGCCGCCCCGCACGCCGATCTTGCCGGCGTGCGCGACCAGGCCCGCAAGGCTGCGCAGCGCGGAGCGGGTTCAGCGAACGGAGCCCTTGGAGGCAAGCCAGCACGCGGGTGACTTGCCTGTGGTGACGAAATCTTCCCGCGAGCCAACCCTCCTGTCCAGTTTTTGATTCCTCGCGCGCGTCGTCAGCGCGTCCCAGTGCGGGGGGCCAGTGGGAATTTCTGAGCTTGGAGTTCGTTGCCGCAGACTGCACTTCACGGTCGTCGATGAAGCCCCTCCTGCCCACTACCACAACCCACGTGGTGATGCGCCAGGAGCGCAAGCTCGCCAGGGACGAGGACATGCGCAAAGCACAGGCATGGTATCTTCGAGACGGATGGAAGTCACATTTTGAGCCAGGTACCTCGGGGCCCAAAGGAGGAGTCTCAGCTTGCGTAGCTGTGCTCGCCCGTGCTTCCTCGGGATTACACATCGCCGGTTTCGGCGCTCGCCGCGCAACTGGAGTTTCGATTCACCTTCCAGGGCAAAGTTCGTCAGGACTGCGCTCGTCTGAGCGAGTTCAACCAGGACCTTGGCCGCGGCGGCCCCCGGGGTTAAATGCCTTTCGTCCCCGCACACACACACACACACACACACACACACACACACACACACACACTAGGTGGAGATTCCAGCCAGGAGCCCTCGACCATGCCTACTCCGCATGTGCGCGGGGGCTCGGGGTCCCAGATTGTTTCCAGCCGATTCATTCGGCACCCGCCGCTCGACTGCAGGAGCCAAGATGCACGACGAATTCCCGGTCGAAGCCAGGATAGCGCAGGCAGTTGCTCGGGTCCAAGTTGTCGGCGACACGGGGCTGGCCGCCCACGACCCCGTCGCCCCCCGCCCCCAGCTTTCCCGTTCAAGAGCTTTGAGCTTCAGGGGCCGACCGCCTCTCTCTTCCGCTCGGCCTGCGGGGCCTGGGCCCGCCCCGCCCCTCCCGCGTGCGCCCCGTTGCGGATGGGGCCCTTCGGGCGGCCGGTGAAGGGGGCAGAGGCCGCGCCCAGTTCGACCTCGACGTCCGCCATCGTGGGCGGGCGGTCCTCGCGGAGCGAGAGTTGGCCGAGGTGCTTCATGCCCCCCCCCCCCCCCCCCTTCGCTGGAAGCTGTGGCAGACGAGCTCAGCCCCGCTGGGTCAATGCGATGAAGGACCCCTTCGGAAGCCACCCCGCCCTCGGTCGGCCACCTCGGGCACCGCCTCGCAGTTGCGTTGGCTGTGCAGTCGTTTTCGCTTGTGGATGCAGCTCCACGCGATTGGCGAGCAGCCCTCAAGCGCCGCCCCCTCAACCCCATGCGGCGCTGGAGTCGCCTTCGGAATCAAGTCTCAGGGCGCCGCTGGCGGCGACGCCGCCAGCATCCTCACGGCTTCGCCTGGCCCAGAAGGTCGGCGGTGCCAGCGTTTGCACGGTGTCGGCCGCTCGCTGCGTTCGCCGCCTGCGCACCTCTGAGAATGGTCGCCCGAGTCTCTCCCCACTTCCGCGACTTTCAGGAAGTGGTAAGTTCAGGGGCCCCCGATTTGGAGGGGCAGTCGGCCCATGTTTTGGATTCGGTTGCCCTCGGCCTCAGCGAGGCCGAGTCTAGCACGGCCAAGGGCCAAGTCGGCCGACAACGAGAAATGGCTGTTTGTGGCTTTGCGCTGGCATCGACACCGGAATGCGTCACGCGCGCGGCGATGTTCGGGGAGGCCCTGGGAGGACACCCGCCGCCGCCCTGGCGGCCAGCGGGGGGGTCGCGTCCGATCCAGGCCCCCCCCTCTCGTCCGAGCTCGGCAAGTTTGCGCGCTTGGCATGCCCAGGACGAAGCCTCGGTCGGCGGGTCTCGTTTGCGCGGTTTCCAGCGGCTCTCGGACGGGGGCCTCGCGGCACTCAGTCGTCTGATGGGGGTTTTCGAGAGATCGGTTCTGCCTCCTGGTCCGATGCGGATCGCGCTGCTGGTCATGCTCGCCAAGCCTGACGGCGGCCACCGACCGATCGGCCAGTTTGTTTCGACCCATCGTCTTTGAGCCCGCGCCCGACGCGAGCGCGCCGGGGCGTGTGGTGGTGGGGGGGGGGGGGGGGCAGGCATGCGCGCGAGCATTTTGCCGCTGGCTCGTTCGCCCCTTCTGCGAGCGAGCGCGGGGAGCGAGGTCGCGGTCGGGGACGAAGAGCAGTCCTGCTCGGTCCTGGGACCCCCTGAAGTTCTATGAGCTGGTGGATCTCAACCTGCTCAGCACGCGACGCCGCCAGCATGGCGCCCCCCTGCAGATCGGCACAATCTGCATCGCGGCGCACCGCCCGGCACGCTATGTCTATGACTACCCGCCTCGCGGGACCGCGATTCGCCTGGAGAGGAATCGTCGCGGATTGCGGGCGGGCGGCTACCATGATCCGCGCGTTCTCGATTGTACTTTTCGACGGGATCTTTGTCCCGTGCACGGTTTCCGCGGGGGTCGCGTGGACGATTGCGCGCTGTCGCGCGCGGGCCCCGATGGGGGCCGTCGCCCGGGACTTGAAGGGGGTCGCGGTATGCCTCCAAGAAACCATTGAGGGCGATCTAGGTTGTGGGATCGTTGCCTGTAAAGCGGCCGCTGCTTCCGCGAGCCCGCGCTTCGCCCAGGTGATTCGCAATCACTTGTTGGAGCTCGCGGGGATTGCTGTCGCCCCAGCCATCAACTTGCTCATTGACGACGCAGCTGGGCAGCCCCGCGGAGCGGGGCCCCGAGGTCGCAAAGACAGGGCTCGGAAAACGGTTGTTCGGGAGGTTTTGCGGCTTCGGCTCCGCCGAGCTGCCCTGGGGAGGCTTCCCAGGGAGATTTTAGCAACCCAGGCGCTCCCCAGCCGCGCGCGTGGATGTGAAGCGCGCGGCGCCTCCGACCTCGAGTTCGCGGCGCTACGCAGGTCGTTGGGCACGTTCCCCTCGCCGACCTCGGGATGCAGATCCCTTTGCGGCTACGCTGCTATTTACGTCGGATCCCACCAGGCATGCGCCCGTTGCCCTCATCGTGCGTTGGTCTAAAGCAATATGGGTTAGCTTGGTGAAATCTTGCGCATTTGGTCTCTCGTTGTCTGAGTTCCGAAGAGCCCGGCAATCGGCGTTCCAAGGCCCCCCCCCCGCTGCGTCTCGCGAGGGACCTGATAAGTGCCGTGCGTCTCTCGGCGGGGCGTCTCGGGTGGAGCGCGCGTGTTTTTTTGCGCATTCTCGTCGAAGGCAGAGGCCTCGCGCCCCCCCCCCCCCCCGCCCTCCTCAAACGTCTCCCGAAGGCTGCGGCCATTGGGGGCCTCGAAAGAAAATGCGGTGAGCCCGTCGGTCTTGTGGCCAGGGCTTGTCCGGGCGCCCACCTCGCCGCCGCGTCTCCCTCGAATTCTTCGGCCCGGGAGGGAGGTTGCATCGAGGGTCTCACCTGCCGGGCCCCTTGGGCGCGCTCCAGGGCCGAGGGGGCGGGGCGCCGCCTGTCGGGCGCGAGCTGCCCGCCGCGCCACGCCGAGCGCGACGCTTTGTTCCATGGTTTGTGGAAGCGCACAGCGGTGGCAAAGGGGCGAGAGGACATCCTCGGCGATCTTGCGCGCAGCCCTGGCGTGGGGACTGACCTCTTCCAGCACGACAGGATTCTGCGCACCCCGGGCATTTTCTCGCGCCCCCGCCCCCATCGGATCTACCGCCAGTCGCGCGCCGCATGGATGATCCCGATAACGCGGAGCATTGCGCGCAGGGCAACGCATTCGTGGATGGGTCTTGCATCCGGTATGTCGTGCGTGAGCTCTTCTCGCATTGGTTGGGCTTGCGTGTTGTTGTCAGATACTGGGTTGGAGTTGGGCCACGCGCGTGCCCCCTCCCCCTTCCTGCCCCGCAGACCGCCCAGGCTGGAGAGTTTGCTGCCTGCGCGGCAGCTTGTCAGCGCGCCGCTGCCCCGTCTGACGGGTTTCGCGATTGTCAGAATGTTGTTGCAGCGCGGGCTCACAGTGGAAGCGAGCAGCTTTCCCGCCGCAAGGTCCACGCGGGAATGCGCGTTCGGACAGCCCGCTGTGCTATGGGCCCCGACTCAGAGAGCAGAGGGGCACATGACAGAAGAGGCTACCACTAATGACCCTCACGTTGCTTGGTGCAAGGCAGGGAACGATTTAGCAGGTCATTCGGTCAAACTCGGTGCCCTGGCCCATGGGACACCTGCCGCCGAGCAATAATCCTGGCTCCCGAAAGCCCTTTTCGGTTTGCCGTAAGGCTATTGCGCTTACTGCCCGCGCGCTGCCTGCTTGGCCTGCGCGCGACCTGTCTGGGGCCATCCGTGATGGGCCCGAGCCCCCTTGCTCCGCCATCTGTGCGTGTGCGCCATGAGTGGGTGTGGTTGAACAAGTACCAGCAGCGCAAGCAACGCTTGAGGGTGTCCAGGTTTGTTTGGCCTCCGAACGGCGCGCGCACTAAGACCTGCGCTCCCCTGGGGAATCAGCTCCAGGAGCTAGGGCACCATTGCCTATCCCTGCGCAGCTCAGACGGCAACTTGCTCGCGGCGCGCCCATCGTACAAGGCCTTTTTTCCTCAGGAGAGCACGCCCGCAACTTTCACAAGCCACGCCCGGGGGGGGGGGGGGGGGCGCAGTAACAAGTCAGGGAGATATTATTGGCACCGCATCACCTTGGGCAAGCATCCCACGCATGATTCAGTTTGGCCTGACACAGATCCGCTTAGCGTGGCGCGCCTTTTTGTTTGATCGTTGATGGGCCCAGCTCCTGGCTCCTGCTATCCGCAAAGCCACGGGGACATAGCCCCGACGAGCTGCCTGCAGCGTCGATCCTGCAGGCTCATTGCTGGACCTGTGTAGAGGGTTCGATATGGGGCCACTGGCCGTCCTTTTCATTGCTGCACTTGCGTCCACCTGTCCCTCCTGTTTGCACGGCCGCGGGATGTTGGAGGTAATTCCCCCCCGCGGCGACAGTTGCACGTTGGTGAGCTGCTCAGCAGGTTCGATATGGGATCCCGGGCTGTTCTTTTCACTGCTGTTCTGGCTTGGCGCTCGTCGGCTTGGCTGCTTGCAGGGTCGAATGTTTCCGCCTGTAGGCGCAGCGAAGCGCACGCATCGCGTGCTTGTGCCCTCGGGGCACGGGTGAGGTCAGGCTCTGATCTCCCCGGCATTGGCTCCCTGGGCGGCCTTTGATGCCGACGCGTCTTGGGCAGAGCCTCCTGGCCCAGCCAAGGCATGCCCTGTCGTGGTGAGGCCTGCACAGCTCGCTCTGTGCAGGCGTCGGTGCCGCCGTCATGTGGGCGGCGGCACGTGGCCTGCAGCAGCCTGCAGGCTGGGTGCGTTCAGCTACCCTGCGCGCCGCTTCGCTCGCGCGCAGCGGCGGTTTTGGGCCGTGCTCGACGGCCACCTGGTGCACCCCCAGGCTCGAGAGCGTGCAGCGGCCAAACAATCCTCCTCCTCCTCCTCCTTCTCCTCCTCCTCCTCCCTCCTCCTCCTCCTCCTCCTCCTCCTCCTCCTCCCCCTCCTCTGTCCTCTTCACCCCTCCCCTCCTCCTAGTCCTACTCCGCCTCCGCCTCCTCCTCCTCCTGCGCGCCCGGAATGGGCACATTCGGTAGCAATTGGGCGTTCCGTACTTCAGAGCGCGAATTACCTCACCCCGCTTTCGATCCCACGCGCCACTCGTTTGCTTTTCTAGTAGTGGGAGGGCAGCGAGGGCTGCAGAAAAGGGGCCCATCAAGGCCCCTAGAGACCCCTAGAGACGCCCTGTGGGGCCCAAAGAAAGGAGGCCTCTGGGGCCCGGGAGGTGCACTTTTCTTCCCCCCATGTATCGCCCCCCCTCCTCAGCGACGCCCAAAGCAACTCATGGGAGCCTTGTATACACTTGCACTTCCGTCTTCAGAGTGCACTAGCACCGACTGGCGTGGGGTAAACGACGAGAAAGTGCCGAATAGGCGTCGATGGACGTCGATTCGCAACAGAGAGCAAGATGGTTTGGGAGGCTCCCATGAGTTGCCGCAAAAGGCACAGAAAGAATGGGCACGTACGATGTCCAACGGCAGTGCGTGGTTATCTGGAATAAGACTTGATGCCATCCGGAGCTCATCGGACAACAAGTCTTGCCACTTTGACCGCAAGTCCTGCCCATGTGGCAGCGTTTGCTGATGAAGTGAGCTACAACCGCTGTCAACATGACAAATGTTGTTGACAGAAGGGGTCCGAAGGGCTACCCGTGTCCCACATGAACACGCACTTCTGGTGGGCATCATACCCATCTTGTCCGTCCACTTTCTTGGCGTGCAAATCCATCAGGGGTAACGAGACAGTCAAGACGCTGAAGTAGTAAGGACCACTTCGGGCTCATGAGAGGGACTCAGGTTTTAGGGCCCTTCTCTTAGATCTTGGTCGGGAAACCGATTCGAAGCCGAGGCTCGCCGTGGCCAGAAGAGCCCTTTTCGTTCCATGCTCAGAATTCCTTCTGGTAGCACGGTGACTGCAGTCAGTTCCCGGCGGCGTTCCGGCCTCGGTGTGCTCTCCGGCAGCTTCGCCTCGCAGGGAGGAGTCCGGGGGGGGGGACCAGGTCGTCCCGGACGGCCGCGCAAGGCCCGAGTGATGGCCCGAAAGCCATCATCGGGGGAGGGGGTTGATGTCTAGGGCGGGGTGGATATCATGGCGGGGGCCATGATATCTCCCCAGATTTCATGGCGCCTCTTTTTATTGCTAAGGCCTTGCGGCCGGTGCCGCCGACCCTGAAGACGACGACGACGAATACGAGAAGGAGGAGGAGGGGGATTATTACGGTGGATTGGAGCAGGAAAAGACGAAGGAGATGTTCCCCATGTGGACCGAGGGAGTCGTAGCAGAGACAGACAGGGGGCCTTGTGGCCTGCGGCCCTTCCCGCCACCGTGCTGGGGTTGTGGTTGAAAGGCCTCTTGGATGTTTTCGAGCTTGTTGGGGCCTCTGTTGGGCCTCTTGGGGGTCTCTGGGGGGCCTCTTCGGGCCCCTTGAGGGGCTCTTGGGGCCTTCCGGGGGCTTTTTTGGGCGGGAAGCTCGAAATGTCGGTTCGTGGTCTTCTTCTTGAGTCTGCTTGGGGCCCTCTTGGCGCGTCTTGGCGCTTTTGGGGGCTCCGGGACGCCCGTGGGCGGATGCGTATCTGACCCCCCCCCCTCCCCCGGGACCCCCACGGAACCCCCCCCGGGACCCCCTCGGGACCCCCCCCGTCGGCGGGGGAGGAATCAAAGGGAAGGGGTTTCCTGTAGACTTAAGTACGACGTTGCTACGGTTTTCTCTCGTTGGCAGGCTTGAAGAGGAGGGTGCAGTGAAAGGCGACGACGGAGACGCAGGGAAAGAGGACAACGGATGCGTCGACTGAGCGCGCGCCGACAGGGGGTCCACACGCCGGCAGGGTCGGCGGATTTCAGTGCGTTCCCTGACCCCCCCCTGGTCCGCACATGCCTAGGGCCATGATTTGCATACGCACACACAATCACACACACACACACCCCTCTTGGACGCCCCCCTCTTGGACGCCCCCGACATCAGACGGGGCGTCCAAGATTCAGGGGCAGCGTCAGATGGGGATAAGCTCGGGGGGAAGCCTCGATCCCCCAACCGCACACGAATCGCTGACAGGAGCCCGATGGCCCACCCCGCCCAGGAGGGTGCGGATTCGCTATCGAGATCCGATCGCCTATCGCCGATGTATCGGCGATGTGTCGCCGATTCCAGGTCGAGGTTCCCCCCCCCGAGCTGGTCCCCTCCATATCGCTCCCCCCAGTCCAGCAGTTTCCCTCTTGCGCTCATCATGCATGTGGGCGCAGCTCGAGCCTGAGCGGGGCTCCGCGGAGGGGGATGGCGAGGGGGAGGGAGGAGGGAGAGGGAAGGTGAGAGAAGCGAAAGCATAGGTTAAGGCGCGAGGATTAGCGACACACCAAATCGGCGCGCTCCGTCGCCAAACGCGCGAGATCAACGCATCCCTGATCCATGTCAGCGTGCGCCCGCGAGAAGGAGGAGGAAGGAGCAGGACAGAGGAGGCGGAGGAGGAGAAGGCGGAGTGCCAGGATTTTTCCTCGCGTATTAATAAGAGTCATTATGCACGACGCTGCGAGCGTCGCTCAAGGTTTGCCCAGAGGAGGAGGAGGAGGAGGAGGAGGAGGAGGAGGAGGAGGAGGAGGAGGAGGAGCAGGAGCAGGAGCAGGAGGAGGAGCAGGAGGAGAGAGCAGGAGGAGAGAGCAGGAAAGAGGAGGAGGAGGAGGAGGAGGAGGAGGAGGAGGAGGTACGCGGAGGGCCGAGGCGGTCGATCGATCTCAAAGACGAGTCCCAGCGCCTGGGCAGCCAGAGGAGCGGCGGCGGCGGTGGCGGCCGCGCCCCGGGCCGCCGGGCGGCCAGGCCGACGGGGCGCCCCCGCGCGACCTGGGCCTGCTCGGGGGCAGGCTCGACGACAGCATCGCGCAGGTGCTGGCGGGCACCCGTAGGCGCCTCCCCTCCCTCGGCCACGCGCAGGGGGGGGGGGGGGGGCGGCAGGGGGTGGGGGGAAGGCTCCTCAGAGGCACGTCCTGCTTCTCAGTGGGCGCGGGCCTCATCTATAGGTGCAGGGCCGGCGCTTTCTAAGAGGCAGGCTCCTTCCAGAAGCCTTCCCCCCTCCCTCTACCCCCTGGTGCGCGCCGCCAATTCCCGGCGGCGACCCTCGTGGAGGTTGTTAGTTTAATCGATCAGCCTCAGAGGTCGAGATTCCAAGTTTTCGGGCGTGTTCGTCGGTTCTCGGCGGGCTTCTGGCCTCGGGGTGCCTTTCAGCGGCTTCCCCTCGCCGAGAGCGTTCCCGGCATGCCCGGATCGTCCCGAACGGCCGCTGGAGAGCCGAGCTGTGAGCCGAAAATCCACGTCTAAAGCGGCGGCGACGACGATCAGAGGAGGACGAGTCGGGACAATGGCAGCTGGATTTCAGGGGAGCCCCTCGTCGCCACGGCCGGGCGCAGCTCGGAGAACTGGCGCTCGGGGGCCCCGCGAGGGGTCCGAGGACCTGTGGAGTTGCCGTCGTCTCCGCCCACCCTGCTCCGGACGGCAGCGGCGGCGGCGGACACCCCCACCCCACCCAGGGCATCGCGGCGTCATACAGGAAAAATCCTCCTCCCTCCCTCCCTCCCTCATTCCCCCTCCCCCACCTTCCCGTCCTCCTCCTCCTCCTCCTCCTCCTCCTCCTCCTCATCCTCATCCTCTTCCTCTTCTCCTCCTCCGCCTCCTCCTCCACCTCCCCCTCTCCTCCTCCTTCACCTCCTGCTCCTCCTCCTCCTCCTCCTCCTCCTCCCGCACCCCCGGCACCGTGCTGTCCCAGACATCATTACAGTGGGTTCACGCGGCGTTGGCGAGCCGGCGACGCCGGCGAAGGCGTTCAAGGTTGAACTCTGCGACGCGGATGCACCGAGGGCAGAACTCAATTTTGAACGACCGGGGCTGAGATCGGTTCAAGGTTGAACGATCGAGGCGGTATCAAGAACCTTTGCGCGCGTCGACGCCACACGAACCTACCGTAAGCAGAATACAACCCCGAACCTGAATGACACAATGAACTCGCGACCTAATTGTGGCTCCCGTGTTTTAGTGACCTTCCTCATCATATTGGTGGTGCCATTCGATGCATCTGCACAAAAGGCCTTCTTTGTCTCATGCTATTGGCCCTCCTAACTTAGGTCCCCTCCTACAGGGGCAGGGGTACGGCTATTGCTTATCAAGACGTGCTCGTGTCGTGAAAAAAAACACGACTCAACAGGTTTCGGCCTCCGGGGATCCTCACGGAGCCTCGGGACCGTCAAAGAACGGTTTTGTTGTGGACAAGGTGACGTCTCCACACACAAAACTAACAATAGACGTCCTGGAGTCTCAGGGTAGGTTTTCTTGTGGAAGGTTTCTTTTGGGTCAGCCTCCACTGTACGGCAGGTTCGTGTCGTGTCGACTGGTGGCGGCCCCGCCAGCGGCGCTCAACTTTGAACGCTGCGGGCGACCCAGAACCGTTCGACGTGGAACGATTTGGACGTCTCGGAAATGGCCGATCGTTCAGGGTCGAACGACCCCCGCGGTGTCAGGAACCAACGCCGGGGTCGCCACGACGCGCACCTGCCGTGACTTCCGGCGCGCGGTCCGCGACGTCTCCGGCGTCGTGGGTCGTGGGCAGCCGGCGGCGGGGATCGCAGCGGCGGCGGCGGCGGCTGCTGCTGGGGCCGCGCGGCCCAGGCCCCCCCGCCGCCCCCCCTAGCTTTGCGGTGTCTCGGGAGGGGAAGAAACACACAGACACAATCAATCGCCGATTCCCCAGAAAACATGGGAAAATACGGGAAGTGGGGGGGAAGACAGAAACCCAGAAAATATAGGAAAATATGGGGAATCTTGTTATTTGTGTCCCAGGGCCCCTTCAGTGTCGTGCAGGAAAGTAGTCCCAGACTTCTGCCGTTCCCATCGTACTTAAGGACCACAGCCCAGAAATACATTTGAGCACCCAGAGTTAGTATTGAAGCAGTGTCGGACGAGTACCGCCTCCCAGGGCCCGACACGTGAAAACCGTCCAGTTTCGATACTCGTTGCTCGAAATTCGTCCTGGTGATCAAGGCTAAAGTAGGTTGGAACATCATAATCCCAGACATGCCTGTGCCGTGCAGGAAAACAATCACGCCCCGTGCCGAAGAAGAACAGACACCATAAACATAATGGTACCGGAGAATCAAATCCGAACTGAATATTTGTAGGGCTGTATGGCTATGGGGCCATATGTGTATAGGGCTATCGGGCTATATGGCTACAGGCATATAGAGCTATAGGGCTATAGGGCTATGGGGCTGTAGGGCTATATGGCTATAAGGCTATAAGGCTATTAGGGCTAGAGGGCTATAGGGCTATAGGGCTATATGGCCATGGGGCTATAGGGCGATAGAGCACCCGGGCACCCAGGCACCCCCGGGCACCTCCGGGCACCCCAGGGCACCTCCGGGCACCCACGGGCACCGGGGCCCCCTCTGGCACCCAGGCCCCCCTGGGCACCCGGGCACCCGGTCCGGCCACCGAAATCGGCGACGTAGGTCACCTACACATATGAATCCGCCAGGACCCCTACAGAGGCGAGCTGATTGGGGAAATTCTTTACGCTTCGCGTATCCCCACCAGCCCATCTCTCAACAGCAACTCTTGCGAAGCGTGCCGACAGTCGTGTTTTTCAGGCGTGTTTCCGCCTGCCCCCGCATATCTCCCCTGTTACTCCTTCCTCCCGCCTCCTTGTCCTCCTTGTGGGGGGAGCGGGAGAAGGACGAGGCGGAGGAGGAGGGAGAGAAAGCGCGCCTCGTGGTTTGAGTCGTTTGTGGTTTCTCGTCCTGGTGTGAGTCGTTCGGGCCCTTCTTCCTGGTGTGAGTCGTTCGGGCTCTTCGTGGTGTGAGTCGTTCGGGCTCTTCGTCCTGGTGTGAGTCGTTCGGGCTTCTCGTGGTGTGAGTTGTTCGGGCCCCTCGTCCTGGTGTGAGTCGTTCGGGCCCCTCCTCCTGGTGTGACTCGTTCGGGCTCCTCGTGGTGTGAGTCGTTCGGGGCCCTCGTCGTGGTGTGAGTCGTTCGGGCTCCTCGTGGTGGCTTGTATGAGCGCTGCCCCTCCTCCTGGTGTGACTCGTTCGGGCTCCTCGTGGTATGAGTCGTTCGAGGCCCGCGTCGTGGTGTGAGTCGTTCGGGCTCCTCGTGGTGTGAGTCGTTCGGGCGCCTCGTCCTGGTGTAAGTCGTTCGGGAACCTCCTTGTGGTGTGAGTCGTTCGGGCTCTTCGTGGTGTGAGTCGTTCGGGCCCCTCGCCCTGGTGTGAGTCGTTCGGGCTCCTCGTGGGGCCTCTTGGGGGCCTCTTGGAGCCTCTTGGGGCCTCTTGGGGGCCTCTTGGGGGCCTCTTGGGGACCTCTTGGGGGCCTCTTGGGGGCTCTGGGGGCCTCGTGGGGGCCTCTTGGGAGCCTGTTGGGGGCCTCTGGGGGCCTCTTGGGGGCCTCTTGGGGGCCTCTTGGAGGCCTCTTGGGAGCCTCCTGGGGACATCAAGGCGCCATCTTGGGGCCTCTTGCGACCTCCTCAGAAGCGCAAATGAGCGCTACCCCCTGAGAAAGACAAAATGAGCCCAAAACCTTCGTAAAATCAATGATTCTGAGAACAAGGAAGAGGAGCGCTGCCCCCTCAGACGGCCAACATGGGGCCAAAACCGTAGTAAAATCAATGATTTTGGCGTCACAGAAGAGGAGAGGGTTTTTTCTCTATCCCCCCGTCGGGGCGAGAATCCTGGTGAGGGTCGTCGTTTTTTGGCCCTCCCAGGCGTCGAAAAGGACCCCCCTGACCACCCGCGGGGCGCCCTCTCCAGGTCCAGGGGGAGGGGGTAGGGGGAGGGGTAAACCCCTCCCCGAAGGGGAAGAAGGGGGGTTGAGGACAGAGAGGGCTCCCTAAACCACTCACGCCCAAAGGGCTGGTGGGATTTGTGGCTTTCTGCGCGGATTGCTTGGATCTGCCCCCTCCGCGGGGACTCCTCCTGGGGGCTCCTCCGGGGCCGCTGTCTGCTCTCGTGGCGGCCGCCGCCGAGCCCATGTTCCCTTCCCCGACGACGGACGACACTCCCGCGCCCTACGCCACCCTGGCCGCCCCATCATCATGATCAGCATCATCATGGTCATCAGCATCAGCATCAGCATCAGCATCAGCATCATCAGCATCAGCATCAGCAGCAGCAGCAGCAGCAGCAGCAGCAGCAGCATCATCATCATCATCATCATCATCATCATCATCATCATCCTCCTTGTGAGGGGCGGGCACCCCAGAGTAATGGACCTGAGCCAATCCGGGGGGGCGTGGTCAAACGAGGCGGTGTCGCCTGGTTGCACCTCTTGCCTGGCCGACAACTTCAAAACCTGTTGGGCAATCATGACCACCTAGGGTGACAAGGCGGAGGAGGATGAGGAGGAGGAGCAGGAGGAGGAGGAGAAGGAAGAGGGGGAGCAACAGGAGGAGCAGAGGAGCAGGGCAAGGAGGAGAAGGAGGAGCAGAAGGAGCGGGAGGAGGGGGAGGAGATAAGGACGAGAAGGAGGAGGAGGAGGAGGAGGAGGAGGAGGAGGAGGAGGAGGAGGAGGAGGAGAGGGGGAGGCGGAGGAGGAGGAGGAGGAGCAGGAGGAAGACCCAGACATCAGACGTTTTTTTTTTTTCGCAACGTGGCTCCCCAGAGGTGTGGACCCGCTCCTCTGGACCAGCTTGGCATCCTGAGCCGTGCTCTGACGGTCCCGGGGCCCAGCGAGGCCCCCCCGAGGCCAGAAGTTAGCAAACATTCTCCAGTCGTGACCTTGTCACAGCGAGAGGGTGCCAGTGGAGGAGAGCAGAGCCTCGGGTTGGCCTCCGCTGCCCCGGAAGGCGCCTCGAGATCTTCGAGGACCGGGTCGCGCAGCAGGTCGCCGCGGCGCTGCGCCAGGGCGGCCCGGCCCTCGGCACGGCGCGCCCCTCCCCGCACAGGCTCAGAGGCTGGCACCAGCACCAGGAGCGTTTGCTTGGCTCGTCGGCGAGCGAGGGGGGGGAGCGGGAAGGAGGAAAGGCCTGCTCAGAAGGCGGCGGGACTTTTCAGAAGCCCTCACGCCTTGTGAGAAGTTCTCTGCGTCTCCAGGAAAGCATAGAAGATTTCTCAGAGGGCCAGGAGATTTCCGAGCCTTCTGAAGTGGTCCGCCCATTCTCACTTCCTTCCAGGCTCGCCGCCGAGCAGATGAAGAAAGTATAGTCGTCCTTCGAGCTTGTGAACGAGTTCGTTGTTTGTATTGCGCGTTCCTCCGTGAGTGTGGTCGCCGTACCCCTTCTCACTGTCCACCCCGAGCTCGCCGCCTATCAGCCTGTCGCCACGGCGGCTCCGGCGGCACGCCGTGCCCTGCCAGCGGGTGGCGTGTCGCTCCGCGGCGCGCAAAGGCGAGAGGCTGGGAACGGCTCGGGGCGCGTTGAAGACTGCGGCGCGGGGGAGTGGATCGCGTGTCGCGCCGCAGCGTGGTGGGCCAGAACTGGCGGAGCGACACGTCATCCATCGAAGAAGAAAGAACGCCATAAACATAAAGTGTCTGCACTCCGCGCGAATTCCTTGGATCTACGCTGGACCCTCCGGCGCCGTCCCTGGCGCGCTCCGCGCGCCAGCGAGGGGGGGTCCAGAGCAGATCCAAGAAATCCGCGCGGAGCGCCAAAAGTTCAAATCCAAGAGTTCCCGACCGTATCGGCGGTTGCGTCCACCGAGGCAATATGAGCCCCATCTCGGCGATGGTGGTAATATTCGGGCTTCGTAGGTGGCCGAAACATAACGCAGCATCCCGCAATGGCGGATACGAGTGAGGGGGCGGGCGCGGGGTGGTTCGCGGGTGGGTCGCGGGTGGGTCGACGGTTGGGTCGCGGGGTGGGTCGTGGGTGTCCTGGCGTGGGTCGTGGGTGAGTCGCGGGCGGGTGGCGGGCAAGGACGACGACAACGTAGTAGCAACAACAATAGTCAGTTTAAGATTCCTCATTCTTATTTGTTCGCGTGCCATTCAACATGTAAATCCCGAACGCTCCATACCCGCCCTCTTCGTCTTCGATCTTACCCCCCTGTTGGCATATTCCCCTAACAGCGCTTGCACGAAGGAAGGGGTTCTTGATGTCTTAGAAACTGGGTCGCCGCCCAGTCGTTGCTTCGTCGCCGCCAGTCGTCTGGGTTTGTGGTTCGCTCTGTCCGTCATGTCGCCGCCGTCGCCGTTCCGCCGCCGCCTCGTCGCCGCCCGTCGTCTGGCTCTGTCTGGCGCTCTGGCCGCCATGTCGCCGCCTCGTCGCCGCCCGAGTCACATTGCTTTGCACTGCATTGCTTTGCATTGCTTTGCGGTGCCCTGCATTTTGCACTGCTTAGCACTGTGTTGTGTTTGTTCGCATTGTGTTGCATTGCTTTGCGTTACGTGTAATTGCGTTATATTATTTCGCATTGCATTACATAGGTGTACATCGTGTCATTTGCGTTGTTCCGGACTGTTGCGCATTGGTTTGCATTGATTTGCATTGTTGTTTTTTTGCGTTGGCTTTCATTCCCCAAACAGTGCTTGCACTTAGGGGATGTCACTTCCTGCTCTAAGGGAACTGGGCCTGTCGGGCGATCGGGCGGCATGTAGCCGCCGTCTCCGCCCCGTCGCCGCCTCGTCGCCGCTCGTCGTGTGGGCCTGTCTGGGCAATGTGGCCGCCATGTCGACGCCCTTTCCCCGCTCGTCGTCTGGGCCTGTCTGCCGCTCTGGCCGCCATGTCGCTACCGTCGCCGCCCGTCGTCTGGAGCCGCTGTCGGTGTCAGTCGTCTGGGCCTGGCTGGTTGTGTGGCGGCTATGTTGCCGCCGTCGCCGCCTCGAACATATTGCTTCTTGAAATACACCATATCGAGGCTGGACGTATCCGTCCCTCTTGGATGTTACAAATTGCATACGATTGATTCTGCATCATCGTTTACTTTGCACACGAACTCACACCAGCCCAGGGCGTCCGCTGATCCCCCCCCCTCCCCGCTGCCAAAAATATAGTCCGCGTGCGCTCGTCCATCACACATCGCCATCCTTCAAAGAGCCCTGGCAGACACAAATGCAAAGTTCACCCGCGCGCGTCGCCGCGCACGCGCACGTTGCAAACTTCCCAACAGCAAAAAAATGAAACACTCAAGCTTTCGTGGGGATGGCAAGGCCGGGCCAAACAATATGCGCGCGCTCTCTTTCGACTTCATAAAACACCATATTGGTTTCAACATGTTCGTTTCATGGGGCGACGCGGGCCCCTCCCGCTCGCATATAAAAATCGTTCGAGCGCCCTCGCGCGCTCGTTGAAAGTGGAGGCGGCACGATCCGTACCAAATATATCCATGCGGGCCACGCGCACGCGTCGGCCGCGCGCGCGCGTGCCGAAATCCTTGTCAACACCTTCATTGGCGACGCGTGGACATCATCATCACCGCCATCGCCGTAACAGGATACCGCGCCCGCCCGAATCATCGACCGCGCTGAAGCGTCCGCTCGCCAGCGCAGCCTGTGAGACGCACCGGGAAGTCGCCAGCGGTCAGCGCCACCGCGGCCGCGTCACTTGGGCCAAACTAGTTGGCCGCTATTCGCGCAAGCTTGCGTGCATTAGCGCGGCCGCAGCGGTGCGCCAGCCAGCGCCAAGCGGTCATCGCAATCGCCGCCGCGTGGGTTTTACAAAACACGTTGCGGGTGGGAGGGCGGGGCGATTGCGTGAGAAGTGAGGCCGACGATTCGAACGCCCGCGAGGTGGGTCCTCATTTTGAAACAAGTACGAGCCCCCCCCCCCACCCCGCCCCCACGATTTAACCTGACCCCTTTCCGTGTTCCATTGCGCATATGGCTCTAAATATGAAGTCACAGCACCCCAGGCAAACCGGCAACGCCCTGCCCCCCCCTTCTTCATCCTTCGCAAAGAGTTTTCTGCGCGCGCACTCGCTTATCACAAATCATCAGTGCGCAAGAGCCCCATGCAACAGATGGGATGAAGTGCGCGCGCGCATGCCGAAATCGTTTAAAAACTTGAGGCATCGTAAAGATTGCAAAATCGAGCGCCCTGAATTGTTTCGGAATGAGGGTGCTAAAAAAAGCGGGCGCTCGCGCTCTTGCAGATGTTGAGTTTCAAAATTTTAACATTCTACCAAACGGGCCTCCCACGTGCGCATTTCGACATCGGCCGAACGCCCGTGCGCGCGCGTTCTCGCAATAATCCCTTGCAGAAGCATGAGACAGAACGCGCGCGCGCCTCGTCGCGCGCGCGCGCTCCAATCTTTCAAAACCGTAGGTTTCGCAAGGTTTACACCGTCGGGCGCCCCGAAAACATATGAGCCTGCGTTCGCGCTCCCGCGAATTCTTGGGGCACCCATCGGTTTTCCAACATTTTGATTACATTTAGCCAAACGGGTCTCTCACGCCGCACGTCGTAATCGGTCGAGCGCCTGTGCGCGCGTTTTTTTTGGGGGGGGGCGCGATCCGCGTCGAGTGATGTCGCGCGGGATATTTTCGCGCGGAGTCGAACTCCCACCAAAACTTTCATCGCCGACGCGCGTGCGCCGTCGTCGTCGCCGGCGCGATCAGGATCGGCGCTGCCACTGGCCTTGCCGTCGTCGCTGCCACCATCCCCCCGCCATCTTGTGCCAAAAATATTATGCGCGCGCACTCGTCCATCAAAAATCATAAGTTGCCAAGAGTCCCCTTGCAAAGAGTGAGACGAAGGGCACACGCGCGCGTCGTCGCGCGCGCATGCCGCAATCCTTCAAAAAACTTCAGTTTCGGAATGATTTCAAAATCGAGCTTCCAAACAACGTACAAAAACACAGGGTTTCGCAACATCGATGTTCTAAAAAAGCTTACGCGCGCGCTCTTGCGAAATCTTCAGGGAAACCGTAGGTTTTTTTTTTTGGTTTTAACAATCGTTTCAAAACGATACTACCAAACGGGTTTCGCGCTCGCGCGTGTCGAATTTTTTCGAACGCCCTTGCGCGCGTGCCGTCGCGAGAACCGTGTTGTTAAACATGAGACGAAGTGCGCGCGCGTCGTCGCGCGCGGATGCCGAAATCCTTCAAAAACCTTCGGTTCCGGAGCGGTTTCAAAATCGAGTTTCCACAGCACATACAAAAACACACGGTTTCGCAACACGGATGTTCAATGCTTTCTTGCGTCGTCGCCGTCGTCGTCGCCGTCCTCCCTCCTCCCTCGTCGTCGTCGTCGTCGTCGTCGCCCTCTGTCTTTCCTCGTCGTCGTCGTCGTCTTGGCGTCGTCGTCGTTTCCGTCGTCGTTGTCGCCGTGGTCGTCCTTCCTCCCTCGTCGTTTTCGTCGACGTTTCGTCGTTGTCCTTCCTATTCCGTCGCCGTCGTCGTCGTCGTCGTCGTCGTCTTCCCTCCTCCCTCGTCGTTGTCGTCGTCGGCGTCGCCGTCCTCCCTCCTTCTTCGTCGTTTGCGTCGTCGCCGTCCTTCCTCCTCCCTCGTCGTTGCCGTCGTTGTCGCCGTCGTCGTCCTCCCTCCTCCCTCGTCGTCGTCGTCGGCTTCGTTGGCGACGTCGTCGTCGTCGTCGTCGTCGTCGTCGTCGTCGTCGTCATCGGCGGCGTCGGCGGCGTCGTCGTCGCCGTCGGCATCGTCGTCTTCGTCGTCGGCGTTGTCATCGTCGTCGGCGTCGGCGTCGGCGTTGTCGTCGTCGTCGGCGGTGTCGTCGTCGTTGTCGTCGTCTAAATCGTTGGAGACGTCGTCGGTGTCGTCGTAGTCGTTGTCGGCGGCGTCGTCGTCGTCGTTGTCGCTGTCGTCGTCGGCGTCGGTGTCGTTGCCAAGTGCCGTTTGGTACCCACCGCCACGGTCTTAAAAGGTATTGCGACCAAGTTGCGGGTAGGAGGGTGGGATGTTTGCACGAGCAGTGGAGAGGACAGCTTCAAGTTGAGCAAGTGATTGATTGCACCG